CCTCGAAGCGCGGAGCAGGCAACGGCGGCGCAGGCACGCAGCAACAGCAAACAGCAGCAGCAGCAGCAGCAGCAGCAGCAGCAGCAGCAGCAGCAGCAGCAGCAGCAGCAGCAGCAGCAGCAGCAGCAGCAGCAGTGGCAGCAGCAGCAGCAGCAGCAGCAGCAGCAGCAGCAGCAGCAGCAGGTAGCGGTTAATTAGCAGCACGCACAAAGCGGACGTGGCCATCAGCAGCACCTTTCAGCCACAAGCAACAACGACACGCAGCAGCGGTGACCATTACCACCACACGCAACAGCAGCAGCAAGCAGCAGCATAACAAATCGCAACGAAGTGTGGCCGCGTGTCTGCCGGAGGGCCGTCGAGCAGCCGCCTGTGCGTTGGTCGGGGCCAGAGGCCACGGGTCAGCCCTAATTAGTCAGCTACAGCGGTGGGATCAGCGCGTGTGGGAAGGGCGCGCAGTGGCAGCGGGCTCTGGCGCTGCTCAGCAAGATGTCGGAGGCGACATTGGAGCCCGACGTCATCGGCTGCAGCGCTGGGATCAGCGCGTGCGAGAGAGGCGGGCAGTGGGAGCGCGCTCTGGTGCTGCTCCGAGAGATATCGGAGGCGCAGTTGGAGCCAAACGTGATTCTATGACCCACGAAGCCTACGCTGCCAGGAGTCGCGAGTGCGAGGTGGTAACTTTGGCGCCGCCTGGGCGGCTCCATTCGGGCATGGCCGCCGACATGTGTGCCCCGAGGCCCGCTGGGCTGGGCCGCTCCGAGTCGACCCCGAACGGGCTTATAAGGGCCCAGTTGGCAGTTAAGTTGCGTCCAGTGCGGCCAAATATGCTGTGAGAGGGGCGCCCGGCGCGCGAGAGGCTCTCCGAGAGATGTCCGAAGAGACGCAAAGCGAGGCCCCGGACAGCAAGTAATTCAGCACCTAATGTTTGAAATACCTATTTTGCGTGCCAGGCTCTTCGGCTCAAGATGGCCTCAGGAGTTTTCCAGAGAACCCGAAGGTGAGGCCAAGGCAGCCCTAAAGGGCCCCAAGCCGGTCCACGAGAGCCCAAAGACGGCCCCCACGGAGCGCCGAGGCGACCGAAGAGAGCACCCAGAGTCTCCGAGTTGCACCACGACGGTCCCAAGAGGCCCAAGAGGCATGTCAGCCCTTGTCAGCTACAATGCTGGGATGAGCGCGTGCGAGACATGCGAACAGTGGCAGTGGGCTTTGGTACTGCTCGGGGAGATGTCAGAAGCGAAGTTGGAGCCCGACGTCATCAGCTACAACGCTGGGATCAGCGCCTGCGAAAAAGGCGAACAGTGGCAGCGGGCTCTGGCGTTGCTCAGCGAAATCTGGAAGGTGAAATTGGAACGCACTGTTATCAGCTACAGCGCCGGGATCAGTGCGTGCGAGAAGGGCCAGCAGTGGCAGCGAGCTTTGGCGCTGCTCATCGAGATGTCAGAAGCGGAGCTGGAGCCCAACGTTATCAGCTGCAGCGCTGGGATCAGCGCCTGCGAGAAAGTCGGGCAGTGGCAGAGGGCTTTGGCGCTGCTCGCCGACATGGTGGAGGCGAAGTTGGTGCCCAACGTCATCAGCTACAACGCCGGGATCAGCGCCTGCGAAACAGGCGAGCAGTGGCAGCCCGCCTTGGCGCTGCTCGGCGAGATGGCCGAAGCGCGATTGAAGGCCAACGTAATCATAAACATGTATTGCAGAGTCCAGGCTGAGTGCGTGCAGAAAAGGCACGTCCAGCAGCCTCCCCAGCACCCCTCCAGATCTCGCCCCCAGGCCCATTCCGTCCCCCCTGCACCCACCATCCTCTCCTCGCTCCTTGCTGCTCGCTCCCCGTTTCTCCCTTCGCGGTTCTCCCTCCTCCCTTCTCGATCCTCTTACGAGCAGCAGATTGCTTCAGCAAGCATCAACACCCTGCAGCATCAACCGTCAAGAGCGACCAGCAGCAGCACGCAGCAGAGAGCAAGCAGCAGCAGTGGCACCACATACATTGGCATTCCGAAAGTTTCGTAATGCAGTGGAGTGCAATCGTCTTGCATTGGCTGGAGCAGGATTCCGTCCGGTGGGATTTCTAAACTAGTTTTTTACCTAACATCGAAGACTGATAGGTTTCTAGTAGTGTCAAAATAGAGCAGCACATTACTCCACAGGGGGGTCTGGGCAGCCGTTGGGGACCGTTGGGGGGCCGTTGGGGTTTGCCGGGGGGGATCGTTTTTCGCATACAGTCACACACTTCGTGCTTTTCGATTTCCCAGAACTCCATTCCCGGGCCACATTCTGAATGCCCGGAGCCTGCTGTACGCCACTTCGTGCTCTTCGACTTCCCAGAACTCCATTCCCGGGCCACATTTTGGATGCCCGGAGCCAACTGTAGGCCACTTCGTGCTCTTCTACTTCCCAGAACTCCATTCCCGGGCCACATTTTGGATGCCCGGAGCCAACTGTAGGCCACTTCGTGCTCTTCGAGTTCCCAGAACTCCATTCCCGGGCCACATTTTGAATGCCCCGAGCCAACTGTAGGCCACTTCGTGATCTTCGAGTTCCCAGAATTCCATTCCTGGGCATGATTTTGAATGCCCGGAGCCAACTGTAGGCCACTTCGTGTTCTTCGAGTTCCCAGAATTCCATTCCCGGGCCACATTTTGAATGCTGAGGCAGGCTGAGGCTGAGGCTGAGGCAGGCTGAGGCTGAGGCAGGCTGAGGCTGAGGCCGAGGCTGAAGGCAGACTGAGGCTGAGGCTGAAGCAGGCTGAGGCTGAGGCTGAGGCAGGCTGAGGCTGAGGCTGAGGCAGGCTGATGCTGAGGCAGGCTGAGGCTGAGGCTGAGGCTGATGCAGGCTGAGGCTGAGGCAGGCTGAGGCTGAGGCTGAGGCCAAGGCTCAAGGCAGACTGAGGCTTTGGCTGAAGCAGGCTGAGGCTGAGGCTGAGGCTGAGGCTGAGGCAGGCTGAGGCTGAGGCTGAGGCAGGCTGATGCTGAGGCTGAGGCTGAGGCTGAGGCTGAGGCTGATGCAGGCTGAGGCTGAGGCAGGCTGAGGCGCCGAGGCCGAGGCTGAAGGCAGACTGAGGCTGAGGCTGAAGCTGAGGCTGAGGCTGAGGCTGAGGCAGGCTGAGGCTGAGGCTGAGGCAGGCTGATGCTGAGGCAGGCTGAGGCTGAGGCTGAGGCTGATGCAGGCTGAGGCTGAGGCAGGCTGAGGCTGAGGCCGAGGCTGAAGGCAGACTGAGGCTGAGGCTGAAGCAGGCTGAGGCTGAGGCAGAGGCAGGCTGAGGCTGAGGCTGAGGCAGGCTGATGCTGAGGCTGATGCTGAGGCAGGCTGAGGCTGAGGCTGAGGCTGATGCAGGCTGAGGCTGAGGCAGGCTGAGGCGGAGGCCGAGGCTGAAGGCAGACTGAGGCTGAGGCTGAAGCAGGCAGGCTGAGGCTGAGGCTGAGGCTGAGGCAGGCTGAGGCTGAGGCAGGCTGAGGCTGAGGCTGAGGCTGATGCAGGCTGAGGCTGAGGCAGGCGGAGGCTGAGGCCGAGGCTGAAGGCAGACTGAGGCTGAGGCTGAAGCAGGCTGAGGCTGAGGCTGAGGCAGGCTGAGGCTGAGGCTGATGCAGGCTGAGGCTGAGGCAGGCTGAGGCTAAGGCTGAGGCTGATGCAGGCTGAGGCTGCGGCAGGCTGAGGCTGAGGCGGAGGCTGAAGGCAGACTGAGGCTGAGGCTGAAGCAGGCTGAGGCTGAGGCTGAGGCAGGCTGAGGCTGAGGCTGAGGCAGGCTGAGGCTGAGGCAGGCTGAGGCCGAGGCCGAGGCTGCAGGCAGACTGAGGCTGAGGCTGAAGCAGGCTGAGGCTGAGGCTGAGGCAGGCTGAGGCTGAGGCTGAGGCAGGCTGATGCTGAGGAGGCAGGCTGAGGCTGAGGCTGAGGCTGATGCAGGCTGAGGCTGAGGCAGGCTGAGGCTGAGGCCGAGGCTGAAGGCAGACTGAGGCTGAGGCTGAAGCAGGCTGAGGCTGAGGCTGAGGCAGGCTGAGGCTGAGGCTGAGGCAGGCTGATGCTGAGGCAGGCTGAGGCTGAGGCTGAGGCTGATGCAGGCTGAGGCTGAGGCAGGCTGAGGCTGAGGCCGAGGCTGAAGGCAGACTGAGGCTGAGGCTGAAGCAGGCTGAGGCTGAGGCTGAGGCAGGCTGAGGCTGAGGCAGGCTGAGGCTGAGGCTGAGGCAGGCTGAGGCTGAGGCTGTGACTGCGACTGCCGTTGCCACTGCGACTGTCATCGCGAATGCGACTACGACTGCGAGAACAGCAGAATTCTACAACTGGATTCTCATCCGAATCTTAAGGGGAATGCTTCCAGATATGCTCCTACACATCGATGTTAGGTTGCTTTGCCGGGATAATTTCCAGAGGGATTTGAACATGAAGTGTTTCCAGCATGTATCTTACATATGCAGATCACTGGGGACCGGGCCCAGTGGCACGGGGGCCACGACCACTGCCTCAAATGGGGGGGGGTCCGGGGGCCCGGCCAGCTCCTCCGAGGCCCCAGGTCCGCTTCCACAGCGCTCAGACCGTCCTCAAGGCGGCTCAAGAGGGCCCAGTGTCGTCCCCAAGACGTCCTCCAGGAGTCTCAGGCGGCGAACGAGGCGTCTCGAACGCCGCAAGAAGCTTCGAAGACGTCGCAGTAGCGCTCCAAGACGACACCCAAGAGAGCCCCGAGAGGCGCACATCTTCCCATTTCCTTTGGAAAACATGCATCCATATCATATTCGCTTCTGGGGCCTTCGCAGCAACAAATGGCCCCCTTGACCGCCCCAAGATGGCCCAGTAAGCTCCCAAGAGGGCCCCAAGAATGCCTTCGAGGGTCCGAAGACGGCCCAACAGGTGCCGAAGACGGCCCAAAAGTGCCCCAGAGGGTCCCAAGAGGGACCCAAGATGGGGAACTTGAAATTCAGAGCTCTCCGACCCCAGAGAGTCCCATGAGGCCTCCAAGAGGCCTCCCAAAGGCACAAATCATTGGATAATTCTTTACGCTTCGCGTATCCCCACCAGCCCATCTCACAGCAGCAACTCTCGCGAAGCATGCCGACAGTCGTGTTTTTCAGGCGTGTGTCCGCTTGGCCCCGCATATCTCCCCTGTTCCTCCTTCCTCCCGCCTCCTTGTACATCCTCCTTGTGGGGGGAGCGGGAGAAGGACGAGGCGAAGGAGGAGGGAGAGAAAGCGCTCCTCGTGGTTTGAGTCGTTTGGGGTTTCTCGTCCTGGTCTGAGTCGTTCGGGCCCTTCTTCCTGGTGTGAGTCGTTCGGGCTCTTCGTGGTGTGAGTCGTTCGGGCTCTTCGTCCTGGTGTGAGTCGTTCGGGCTTCTCGTGGTGTGAGTTGTTCGGGCCCCTCGTCCTGGTGTGAGTCGTTCGGGCCCCTCCTCCTGGTGTGACTCGTTCGGGGCCCGCGTCGTGGTGTGAGTCCTTCGGGCTCCTCGTGGTGTGAGTCGTTCGGGCGCCTCGTCCTGGTGTGAGTCGTTCGGGCCCCTCCTTGTGGTGTGAGTCGTTCGGGCTCTTCGTGGTGTGAGTCGTTCGGGCCCTCCTCCTGGTGTGAGTCGTTCGGGCTCCTCGTGGGGCCTCTTGGGGGCCTCTTGGAGCCTCGTGGGGCCTCTTGGGGGCCTCTTGGGGGCCTCTTGGGGGCCTCTTGGGGCGTCGTGGGCCTCTTGGGGGCCTCTTGGGGGCCTCTTGGGGGCCTCTTGGGGCCTCTTGGGGCCTCTTGGGGGCCTCTTGGGGGGCCTTCTCTGGGGGGCCTCTTCTTGGGGGGGCCATCTTGGGGCCTCTTGCGACCTCCGCAGAAGCGCAAAGGAGAGCTGCCCCCTGAGAAGGACAAAATGAGACCAAAACCTTCGTAAAATCAATGATTTTGCTATGAGGGAAGAGAAGCGCGGCCCCCTCAGGAGGCCAAAATGGGGCCAAAACCCTAGCCAAACTGGTTCCCCCCGTCGGGGCCAGAATCCTCGTGAGGGTCGTCGTTTTTTGGCCCTTCCAGGAGTCAAAAAAGACCCCCCTGGCCACGCTCGGCCCGCCCTCTCCAGGTCCAGGGGGAGGGGGTAGGGGGAGGGGTAAACCCCTCCCCGAAGGGGAAGAAGGGGGGTTGAGGACAGAGCGGGCTCTCTAAACCACTCACGCCCAAAGGGCTGGTGGGATTTGAGGAAGTCTGTTTGTGTTGGAAGATCTCGCCTTTTCGTTTCCGAGGGGCCTCTGCGACCTCAAGGTGGTCTACGAATGGCCCTACAGCAGCCCCAGAGAGGCCCAAGACCGTCGACTGGGGCCTCCAAGACCCTTTAAGATGACTCCGAGACGGCCGACGATATCTTCGCGACAGCCTCCAGACCGCCCAGACGGCCCCAGCTGGCTTCCAGATGGCTTCCAGACAGCCCCAGACAGCTCCAGACGGCCCCATGACGGCCTCAACAGGCCGCCGAGAGGCTCCCAAGAGGCTTCAAGATAGCCCCAGGACGCCAACATTCTTCATTGCCGATGACCCGTCGACGTGTTCACCGAGGCGCGCCGCAGGCGTAATATTCCCAGAGGATTTCACCGATGCCACGGCGATCACGGCCTTGATGATGGTCACCAGGACGATCTTCAGACTGATGGGTTTGATGTTGACGATGGTGATGGTGATGATGATCGTGCTCATGATCATGATCATGGTGATGATGGTGATGATGCCGCTGACGATCATGATGCTGCTGATGACGACTATGATGATGATATCGAAGATGATGGTGATGATGATGCTGATGATGATGATGATGATGATGATGATGCTGATGCTGATGATGATGATGATGATGATGATGATGATGATGATGGTGATGGGGATTGTGATAATGATGATTATGCTGCTGATGATGCCGATGATGATGACGATGATGCTGACACTGATGAGGATGCTGATGAGGAAGATGATGATGACGATGCTGCTGCTGACGATGATGATGATGACGATGACGATGATACTGATTATGATGATGATGATGCTGCTGATGATGATGATGCTGGTGATGATGCTGACAATGATGAGGCTGCTGATGAGGAAGATGATGCTGAGGATGATGCTGCTGCTGATGATGATGATGGTGGTGGTAGTGGTGGTGAGGGTGACGATGGTGATGCTGATAGGGCTGGTGATTCTGACAATGCTGATGATACTGATGATGCTGCTGCTGCTGTTGATGATGATGCTGATGCTGATGAGGCTGATGCTGGTGATGCTGATGATGATGCTGATGATGATGCTGCTGATGATGATGCTGATGCTGCTGCTGTTGCTGATGATGCTGATGATGATGATGATGAAGGTGGTTGTGGTGGTGATGATGATGTTGAGGATGAGGATGATGATGCTGCTGCTGCTGATGATGATGATGATGATGAGGATGATGATGCTGATGATGATGATGATGCTGCTGCTGATGATGATGCTGATGATGATGATGATGATGATGATGATGATGATGATGATGATGATGATGATGATGATGATGATGATGCCGAGGAGGAGGAGGATGAGGAGGAGGAGGATGAGGAAGATGATGACGATGCTGCCTCTATTACTGCTGCTGCTGATGATGGTGAACATCATGATGCTGACGAGGCCCAATTCGGACCGCCTTGGATCCTCTCGAGGTTTCCCTGCCCGCCCCCTACAGCTCTCAGAGGCATACTCGGCCTGCTACTTCGGGCTTCAAGGGAAGCCCGAGGATTCCCGCAGTGGCAGTTCTACGCGACGAATGCGTTGATTTCGAACTGTGCGGCGCGGTCGGAACAGGGGTCAGCCTCCGCCCGCCCGCTCACGCGAAAGTAATGGACGAAACCCATACATCTTGTCGTTCTAATGAGGTGTCATGAACTGTCGGAACGGCGTAGTAGCATCAGCGACATCAGTATGCACCAGACGGCAGTACCATATAGCATTGCGCAGAATGCAGGCGGGGCAATCAGCAGCACCATGCAACCACACGCAGCAACAGCAAGCAACAGCAAGCAACAGCAAGCGACAGCAAGCGACAGCAAGCGACAGCAAACGGCAGCGGCAGGCAGTACCAGCAGCGAGCAACATCGGCAGCAAGCGGCAGCACGGAGTAGCAGACACGCAGCATCAACTAGCACCACGCAGCAGCACGCAGCAGCGCTAAGACGCATCAATCAAGAGCACGCAGCGATCAATACCAGCCTGCAGCGGCACCAACAACATGTGTATGGACGGTTGCGCCAACCTGCACCAAGCAACAGCAAACGGCAGCGTGCGGACGGGCAGCCGAGAAAGCACGCAACACATAACGCAGGCGGTCCAGCTGAAGACTGCCCACCGGGCGAGCAAGCACGCAGACTGGACAGTAGGCGAGCACACGAGCAGGCTCGCGATCCTTGCCCTTGGATGCAGTTCGTTCACGGGTCGACCGCATCGCGTGCGGGAGAGCTGGGCACGCACGTGGTTTGACATCGGCCCAGCGGGCCCCGACGCGCTCCTGGGCCCCCCCGGGGTGCTCCAAGTCGATCTAGTCTTGAGGCGGGGGGCACCGCGTGCAGGAACGGCGGGCTCTCTTCTTGGCCGTCGCTCCTCCCTTCCGTCTCCTGGCTACTCGCCTCTCGCCGATCGCGCCTCGCTCCTCCCCATCCCTTTTCGATTCCCTCGATCCCGACTCCTCGATTCTCTCCTGGAAGCAGGTTACGCCAGCAGGCTGAAGCAGCAAAAACCAGCGCCCTGCACCATCAATGAGCAGCTGCGAGCGGCAGCAGCATGCAGTACGAAGCAGGCACCAGCAGCAGCAGCAGCAGCAGCAGCAGCAGCAGCAGCAGCAGCAGCAGCAGCAGCAGCAGCAGCAGCAGCGGGAACACAGCAACAGCAAGCAGCAAGCAGCGGGCAGCAGCACGCACCAAGCAGAACTGACGATCAGCAGCACCCGGCAGCCACAATCAGCAGCGACATGCAGCATCGGCAAGCATTACCAACGGCATGCAACATCGGCAGCAAGCAGCAGCACGCAGTAGCATGCGCGGAATGCGAGGGACGAGCCGCGCCAATCGGCGCCTTGTCCACCATCACACGTCATTTCGTGCAGATGTCGTGGACGCAGTCCACGGGTCAGCCCTAGTAGTCAGCTACAACGCTGGGATCAGCGCGTGCGAGAAAGGAGAGCAGTGGCAGCGGGCCTTGGCGCTGCTCAGCGAGATGTGGAAGGCGCAGTTGAAGCCCACTGTTATCAGCTACAGCGCGGGGATAAGCGCGTGCGAAAAATGCGGGCAGTGGCAGTGGGCTACGGCATTGCTCCGCGACATGCGGGATGTGCAGTTGAATCCCAATGTCGTCAGCTGCAGCGGTGGGATCAGCGCGTGCAAGAAAGGCAAGCAGTGGCAGCTCGCTTTGGCACTGCTCGGCGAGATGCGGGAGGCGAAGTTGGAGCCCAACGCTATATCGCGGCAGCGCGTCCGATAACGCCCATATGTATTCAGAAGTCTGAGGGCGCCTCCCGCCCAAGGAGAGCGCATATCTGGCTCAAGGTTGGCCCGGCACAGCCGTAAGGCGACCCAAGAGGGCTCCAAGGCAGCCCCACCACTCTCCAAGACGGCCCAACAACTGGCCAAGGAAGAGAAGGAGAGGAGGAGCAGGAGGAGGAGGAGGAGGAGGAGGAGGAGGAGGAGGAGGGAGGAGGAGGAGGAAGAGGAGGAGGAGGAGGAGGAGGAGGAGGAGGAGGAGGAGGAGGGAGGAGGAGGAGGAGGAGAGGAGGAGGAGGAGGAGATGATGAGGAGGAGGAGGAGGAGTTGGAGGAGGATGAGAGAGGAGGAGGAGGAGGAGAGGAGGAGGAGGAGGAGGAGGATGAGGAGGAGAGGAGGAGGAGGAGGAGGAGGCGGAGGAGGAGTAGGAGGAGGAGGAGGAGGAGGAGGAGGTGGAGGAGGAGGAGGCGAGGGGGAGGAGGAGGAGGAGGAGGAGGGGGAGGAGGAGGAGGGGGAGAAGGAGGCGGACCACCAGTGTAAACCCAAGAGTCACCAACTATGTTGGAATTAACCCTCCAGATTCTGTTTTCGGGATTCCAACGCCACGGATTAACCTGATTGTTGCGTCTTGTCGATCGGGAGTTGTGCCAGAACGCCAACGCCGCGAATCAACGTAACTGTTGACCCGCATGATCCTGAATCCTTCCACAATACCATTTCTGGTACGTTGACCATGGGAATCTGTGAAACTCTTCACGGCGCTAAGGCGAAAGCCACATTTTGAAATGGAGCCGCTCTCAATCCGTGAATCTCTCGCAATTTGTTTTAAACGAATGTGTGCGGCGCTAAGGCGAGAGCCACATTTTGAAAATGGGTCGCCCTCAATCCGTGAAGCTCTTGCACATAAAAGAACACGAAAAGGCGCGGCGCTAAGGCGAGAGCCACATTTTGAAAACGGGTCGCCTTGAATCCGTGAAGCTCTTGCAGTTTTTTGCAACGAATGTGCGCGGCGCTAAGGCGAGAGCCACATTAAAAGAAGGGCGCCCTCCATGTGTGAAACAATTGCAGTTGTTTGCAACGATTGTGCGCGGCGCTGAGGCGAGAACCACATTCTGAAAACGACCCGCCCTCCATGTGTGAAACTGTTGCGTTTTTTAAGATAACGATTGTACGCGCGCTAAGGCGAGAGCCACATTTTGAAAGCCACCCGCACTCCATATGTGAAGGTGTTGCTATTTTTTCAAGCTCCAGGGGTATGAATAATGAGGAAGTCTCAGGCGAAACGCCCAGCCCGCCCTAAAGCTGGCTTCAGGGTGCGACAAGGAGACGTTATTGTTAAGGAAAAGGAATGGAGGATGATGATGATGATGAGGAGGAGGACGAGGATTAGGATGCTGATGCTGATGATGATGATGCTGATGATGATGATGATGATGATGATGATGATGATGATGATGATGATGATGATGCTGATGATGCTGATGCTGATGATGATGATGATGATGATGATGATGGATGCGGATGCTGATTGATGATGTTGAGATGATGATATGATGCTGTTTTGATGTTGATGATCTGCTGCTGCTGATGATGCTGATGATGTGATGAGGAGGGAGGAGGAGAAAGGAGGAGGAGGAGAAGGAGGAGGAGGAGGAGGAGGAGGGGAGGAGGGAGGTAAGGAGGTGTGAGGGCGGAGTAGAGTGAGACGGGAGGGGAGGCGGGAAGGGATGAAGAAGAGGGAGGAAGGAGGAGGGAGGGAGCATGAGAGGAGGGGAGGAGGGAGGAGGGAGGAGGAGGCGGAGGTAGGAGGTGGGCGTTAGGGGGGAGGAGGGAGGAGCGTAGGAGGGAGGGAGGGAGTAGGGCGGGAAGGGAGGGAGGGAGGAGGGAGGAGAAAAAGGAGGAGGAGGGGGAGGAGGAGGCGGAGGGAGGAGGAGTGAGGGATGGAGGGAGGGAGTGACCATGGATGGACAGAGGGGGGAGGGAAGGGAGGAAGGGAGGACCCAGGTAGGAAAGGAGGGAGTGATGGGGGATGGGAAAAGGAAAGCGAGGAGGAGGGAAGGGGAGGAGGTAGGAAGGAGGAGGAGGAGGAGGAGGAGGAGGCGGAGGAGGGAGGGGGAGGAGGAGGCGGAGGAGGAGCGGAGGGTGAGGAGAGGAGGAAGGATGAGTAGGGCGTTAGGAGGATGAGGCGGAGGAGAATAATAATGCATTAGATGGTATTATTGCTGTTTGGTGGCTGCGTAGTGATGAGGCTTATTAGGGAGGGTAAGTGGGCTGTGAGGAGTAGTTTTTAGGAATTAGTAAGGAGTATGATTAGTATGAGGTAGCGGGACATTCGCAGGGAGAGGCAGGATTAGGAGGATGATGCTTTTGGGTTGCGGCAGGACGACACCAAGCACGGTTAGCAATATCATCGTATCGGCATGAGGAGGAGGAGGAGGAGGATGAGGAGGAGGAGGAGGATTTGCTTACGTTGTTGCTGCCTATGCCCCTGGATCTGCTGCCGCTGTTACTGCTAACGCTGCTCTGGGCGCCGTCATAATCATCAAGCAAACAGCACGCCCCCTTTAGCAATGAGCAGTGGCGATAACATTCTGACCACTGGCGCTTGTGAACGGTCGTGCACGGGTCATCCCCAGTCAGCTACAACGCTGGGATCAGCGCGTGCGAGGACGGTGAGCACTGGCAGTGGGCCGTGGCGCTGCTCAGCGAGATGCGGGAGGCGAAGCTGGAGCCCTGCGTCATTCCTTTTACAGTGCCAGAACCTGAGGGGTAGCCTATCCGACCCCTAAAAAACCATCCCCTTGTGTGACGTCCCCCTCGCCTCGCCCCAGGACGTATGTATGCGGCAGGAGGGAAGCTTGAGAGGCGAGGATGGCGTCACGGAAGGGGATGGCTTGCTAGGGGTCGATTAGGCCGCGCCCGAGAACCACCGCGCGCGAGAAAGGCGAGAGGCACGAACGCAGTGGCGGACCCCGTCCTGCGAGACAGTGCCGCCCCCTCCACACACCGGCCCGAGGTGGCCCCAAGACGGCCCGAGGCTCCGGCCGTCGGACGCGGGATCCGCCCAGGCGTGCCCAGGACCTCACCAGGCTACAGTAGGCAACACATAGTCGGATGACGTTTTTCGTTTTTTTTGTGTTGCCGATGTTGTTTTCTTCTTCTTCTTCCCAAAGCAGCCCCTGTAGAAGGACATGCCCGACTTAACACTCGCCTCCCCCGACATGCACCCAGCAGCTTGGGCCCCTCGACCTGCCCCCGACGGCTCCCAACTCTGCTCCTCAGAAGACTACTCAGAGGTTCCCGACAGGCATGTAAAAAAAGCCAGAAAGAAAGCAAACAGTTCGCAACGCACCACAACAGCAGGAGGAGGGTAATGCTCTAGCGCGACTTGCGCAAAACTCAGTGATCTGGGTGCCAGCTGGGCGGAGACTGTGGACCTGCGGGTCCTGGGATGGTGGTAACCCTATGCCCTGGTGACCTTTCTGGAACTAGGGGGCTTGCAATGCTGAGCGTTCTGCGGGTGCCTTTTCCATATCACTCCGGATCTGGGTGGCCGAGTATGGTGAGAATCCGTGCATTCTGCGGCCACTCTTTTTGGAACTTGGAGGTCTGGAGTGGTGAGAGCCTTAACGCCAGCCACACTGTCTTGACCCGGGGGACCGTGAAATGGGAGGAATCCCGTGCCCATGGAAGAATCCCGTGCCCATGCTGCACTCTCTGGACCAGGGAGACTAGGAATAATAGTTGTTCCCTCCCTTCTTTGAAGGCGACAACAGCAGGTTCCAATGACTTTGCTTGACATCTTCTGGCAACTTTGGTGTGTACGAAGGAGTCCCAGAGGAAACAGGGATGTCGTTCGTGACAGCGTCGGCTTGCCCCGTGTGGTTGGTTGTGGCAGGTCCTGAAGAGGATGGCCAACCACGCGCCGAAACGCTGAGGGCGAACTGGACCAGGGGTGCCCGAATAGTTGGGCATACTCAGTCCGAGACCACAGGAGGATCCCAAGACCAAGATAATGCCGATTATATTGCATTTGTGTTGACATGTAGTTGCTTTAAGAATCCTTCATTTCAGAGTTGACATGATGTTGCACTTGTTGTGATATGACAGGCAAATAACGGATTATCAGCCGAAGCTCTCCAGGAACTCGCCTTCGGCGGCACGGCCTTCTTCCCATCAGTCAGAAAGATTCCGGCATGCCTGCGCGTGTTGCAGAGAGATTCCGGCATGCCTGCTGTGAAGTCGGCTCCGCCGTCCTGTGCTCCAGTCAGTGCTCTGGTCACGGTGGTGGGGGGTCAGACATTCAAGGAAAAAGGGGGCACCTGCGGTCAGTCCGCCAGGTGCCGGCGGTGTCACGAAAGAGGGGGCAGTTGTTCCCTCCCTTCTTTGAAGGCCAAAACAGCAGGTTCCAATGACTTTGCTTGACATCTTCTGGCAACTTTGGTGTGTACGAAGGAGTCCCAGAGGAAACAGGGATGTCGTTCGTGACAGCGTCGGCCTGCCCCATGTGGTTGGTTGTGGCAGGTCCTGAAGAGGATGGCCAACCACGCGCCGAAACGCTGAGGGCGAACTGGACCAGGGGTGCCCGAATAGTTGGGCATATTCAGTCCGAGACCAAAGGAAGATCCCAAGACCAAGATAATGCCGATTATATTGCACTTGTGTTGACATGTAGTTGCTTTAAGGATCCTTCAATTTAGAGTTGACATGATGTTGCGCTTGATGTGATATGGCAGGCAATAACGATAATGCGCCATTATCTTTGAACTTGTGAGGCCTGCACTGGTGAGAATCCTGTGCCCCTGTCGCGCTTTCTGGTAGACCTGGAACGGTGAGACTCATATACTCCTGCGTTACTTTTCTCCACCTGGGAGGACTGGGACGGTGAGAGTCCCATGCCCTGCCACGAGACCTGGACTCGTGATACTCGTGTGCTCGTGCCACGCTTCCTTGACCTGGGGCAATCGAAATGGCGAGACGCACGTGCCCCCGACGCACCTCCTGGATCCAGGGGCACCGTGAGCGGTGCGCGTCCCGCGCTTTTGCGCGCCACATCTGTTCTGGACCCGCGGGAGGTCAGCAGCGGAGCGCGCCCCCAGTGCCGCTGCCACGCCTTCTGTGCCCCACAGGCCGAAACCGTGCTATGTTTCGTGTTTTTGTTGCTTGTTTTGCCACGGCGGCCAACACACTCGGCAAGACAACAAACTGGTGGTACGTTTTGTTTTTTTTGTAGGTTTGCAGCCTGATTTTTGTGGTTTAGAATGGACTTGGAGAGCCCAAGCCATCCAAACCAATGCAAGCACATATCATGTGGATTTGGTGGAGCTGAGGCCAGCGAGCAAACGATGCATTCTGTGGAACACCGCTGGCGCGCCGCAGCTGGGGGGAACACTCCGCGCATGCTCCCTGTACTGAAGCGGTGGCCCCCCCATGGAGTTTTTTTGACCATTCTGGGGCCCCTTCTGGTGAAACGCCGTGTTATCACCATGTTTTCTGCCTCCTGGCTGCCTTCGCTCCAGACTGGCCGATGTGGGCCCAAGACCGCCGCAGATGGCCATAAGGTGGCACCCAGGGCTTCCCGGACCGCCCAGGCCCAGCCCAATCCACGACGGCCCAAGACGGCCCAGGACGGGTCCAGGGCGGCTTGGGGACGGCCACCAGAGAGCCCCAGAGAAGGCAGAGGAGCCCAAGATGCCCGAGAAGGGGTCCGACGCTGCTCTCCGACGGCCCTGGTCCCGACAGGACTACCCAGTATCGCGACCAATAAAGAAACGGGCTCCAGCCTGTCGTATCCTGTTCCCTTTCGGCGGTGGCAACGACGACGAACAACGACGACGACGACGACGACGACGACGACGACGACGACGAGCACGACGACGACGACGACGACGACGACGACGGCGACGACGACGACGACGACGAGTTCGACGACGACGACGACGACGAGCACGACGACGACGACGAGCACGACGACGACGAGCACGACGACGACGACGACGACGACGACGACGACGACGACGACGACGACGACGACGACGACGACGGTGGCTGGGGCGGCGGCTGATACGGCCTCGTCCGAGTGGCTCCAGCGGGGCATCGTGGCAGACGGCGGATGCCCTTTTCCTGCCTGCGTGGAAGCGGGCTCCCGATGAGTGGGGAGATTTGCGGCCCCCCCTCCTCTTGCTGCTGCTGTTGTTGTTGGTGGTGGTGGTGTTGTTGTTGCTGTTGCTGTTGTTGTTGTTGCTGTTGTTGTTGCTTTTGCTGTTGCTGTTGCTGTTGTTGCTGTTGTTGCTCTTGTTGCTGTTGTTGTTGCTCTTGTTGCTGTGGTTGTTGCTCTTGTTGCTGTTGTTGTTGTTGTTGTTGTTGAACATTATTAATTCTAAAGAATAATTATTGTTGGGCCCCCTGGTGCGCGCCCCCCCCGCCGCGCCTAGGCCGCAGCCACGTTTTCATCATTTTCGTGAGGAAGCCTCAGGTAATTCGAGGTGATCAAGATCCGGTTGTTTTGTTGTAATCCGTTTTCCCTTGCAAAAAACACTATAAAATGACATTTCTTGTTCTAATATAATCAAATTTCAAGAATCCCTTGCAAAAAATAAGGTAAAGTGGACATTCGCGCGCGCAAGACGAAATCCTTCCAAAAGCTTAGTGTTCGGAACGATTTCAAAACATAAAAACATCAAAAACCAATGGTTTTTCAACAAAAAAAATGTCAAAATCTCATCCCGCGCGCTCTTGCGGATTCGTAGGAAACCCAACACTTTTTAAACATTTCTGTCAAACGGGCTTTTGCGAGCAACTTTTTCGAACTTCTGCGACAACGGTTGCGCACCTGCCAGGGCCATCATCCCTGTCAAATATACCATGCGGGACACATTCGTTTTTTCTTCGCGCGCGCACGCCGAAATCTCCAAAAACCATTGGGTTCTGTGGGTGTGTACCCCACGCCAGTGTAGTAGCCACGGTCGTCCGCACGCCACGAAGTGAAGTGTCCCAACGTCATAGGGCGGGAAGCTGGGTTTGGGTGGTCGCGAAGAGTCGTTTGGATATTTGGTAGAGCTTGTAATGCCCCCCCACGAAGTGGGGGTATTGCCTGGTGTCGTATGAAAACCCTGGCACTGGGGAGAACACCACGCGTTCGGGTAAAATGATTGTTGTTGTTGTTGTTGTTGTTGTTGTTGTTGTTGTTGTTGTTGTTGTTGTTGTTGTTGTTGTTGTTGTTGAATATTATACTTCTAAAGAATAATTATTGTTGGGCCCCCTGGTGCACGCCCCCCTCGCCGCGCCTAGGCCGCAGCCACATTTTCATCATTTTCGTGAGGAAGTCTCAGGCAAAACGGGGAAGTCCGGATCCGGTTGTTTTGTTGACGCCCGCTTTCCCTGTCAAAAAACAATATAAAATGACATGTCTTGTTCTAACATAACCAAACTTCAAGAATCCTTTGCAAAAAATGACACGAAGTGCACACTCGCGCGCGCAAGATGAAATCCTTCCAAAACCTTAGTTTTCGTAGCGATTTTAACATAAAAACATGAAAAACCCAATGGTTTTCCAAAAAAAAAATTCAAAAATTCATCCCGCGCGCTCTTGCGGATTTCTTAGGAAACCCAATACTTTTTCAACATTTCTGTCAAACGGGCTCTTGCGAGCAACTTTTTCACGTGCTTCGAACTTCTGCAACAACGGTTGCGCACCTGCCAGGGCCATCATCCCTGTCAAATAATACCATGCGGGACACATTCGTTTTTTCTTCGCGCGCGCACGCCGTCGTCGTCGGCCGCGGGGCCCTGAATAGTAGCCACGGTCGTCCGCATGCCACGAAGTGAAGTGTCCGAACGTCATAGGGCGGGAAGCTGGGTGTGGGTGGTGGCGAAGAGTCGTTTGGAAATTTGGTAGAGCTTGAACCGGCCCCCCCACAAAGTGGGGGTATTGCCCGCCTCCTATGAAAACCCTGGCGCTGGTGAGAACGGTGTGTCCCCACGTGCTAGTAATTGTTGTTGTTGTTGTTGTTGTTGTTGTTGTTGTTGTTGTTGTTGTTGTTGTGGTTGTTGTTGTTTTTAGTCCGACCTGAGCAAAAGCTGTGGCGTTCTTGAAGATGCTGTGCAAACACAAGCTCTAACCCGACTCGGCGCGCGGAGTACCTGGCGGGCGCCGCGGACAGTGCTGAGTGGAGAAAAAAGAGTAGGCGCCCGCCAGGTGCTTGAGGTCAGCACGTACCTTAGTAACGAGCCCCCGCAGCCCTGGAAATTAATGATAAGTAAAAGTCAGGCCCTTTATGATTCACTGGTCCGCGCTGCCTCAAACCACTGTCAAACAGCAGGTGCAAGTGTAGTGCAGTACACATGGCGGAGTGTGGTGAGATGAGTGCTTCAACAGTGCACGAGGTACTGTGAAAGAGGTGATGGGGCTGGCACAGGCTGTGCTGGCTGGCCTAAAGCGTACAAGCAGTACGGGCAGGCGGTAAGAGTAAAGTAGAAAAGGGATTCTTTGGGCTGCTATCGGTGTTCTCTTCGGTTCCTCGGGGGCACACCCCTTCACCGTCTCAGTTCCGGGGGGGGCACTCCAGTCACTGTTGCCACCATTGTGGCTTTGTTCTCCCCCCCCCTGTACGTCACCGTACAGCTGCCGGCTCCATGGTCTGCCCTGATGGCCACGTGCCCAAGGGGCCCACCACGGTCAGGAAATGCAGGTGGAGCGGACCGAACAGCGGGGCTAAACTCAGTTGCAGTTCATGCTCTGCCCGTAAGCCCACACCGTGGGACATCACGAAGGGGCCAATGTTACGGCCCCTCACCGAAGGTAGAGCTGAGCACAGAGAAGACGCGGACAACGGAAAAGTGATCGTTTTTTTATTCAGTGTTTTGCCGATCGGCGTGGGCCCTCGCACCCCTCCTCCCCCTCCATGGAGTAGATCTTGGTTGTTTTGGGCGCCTGTTTCGAGCAGGTGGGGTCTCCACCATGGGACGCACTGTTGCAAACAGTCGCGTTAAATAGAGATCCAGAGCCAGACCCCCCCCTCGTCCCCCTTTCCGCCCAATGTCGAAACGCCGAATATGACAACGCTCACAACGTGCAAGTTCCTCATCCACCTCCCCAGTCAAAGCTCCTACAATCCACTTCCCTCAACGCCTCTGGCACCACGACAAGTGGCGGGAGGAACGGCCTCGCGGACATATCCTCCTCCTCCTCCTCCCCTCGTCCTCCTCCCTCCTCCTCCCCCTCCCCTCCCCTCCTCCTCCTCCTCCCCTCCTCCTCCTCCTCCTCCTCCTCCTCCTCCTCCCCCTCCTCCCCCTCCTCCCCCGCCTCTTCATCCTCCTCCTCCTCCTCCTCCTCCTCCTCCTCCTCCTCCTCCCCCTCCTCCTCCTCCTCCTCCTCCTCCTCCTCCTCCTCCTCCTGCTGGGCGCTGCAGGCGGCGACCTTGCCCACGGCAGGCGAGATCCCGAAGCGGGCCCCCCGCAGAGTCAGCTACAGCGCCGGAATCAGCGCCTGCGAGAAGTGCGAGCAGTGGCAGTGGGCTTTAGAGCTGCTGGGCGAGATGCGGGAGGCGCAGTTGGATCCCAACGTTACCCACACTCTCAGCTCTAACTTTGTCAGGTTACTCCCCAGCGTAGTTCTTCCAGCCGCTAACTTGCGCTCAGTTGTTCCTGTATTGCAGTGGTCGAGGCAGTGCGCGAGAGACTGCGCTGCCGCAGCCCGGCCCGCGGCGCCTCCCCTGCGCTCGGGGGGGCGCCCAGGGCGCTCTCTCGGGGCGATTCTGGACGGCCCTGGGCGGTCACCAGAAGGCTCCGAGACGTCCAACGACGGCTCGGAGTCGCTCCAGCGAGCGCCCAGATGGTCCTAGAGCGCCCGAAGCGAGCCTCGCAGTGGCCCAGGGCGGCCCCATGACGAGCCAGGAGGCCTCCCAAGGCGGCCCAAGAGAGTCCCGATGACAGCCCCACGAGGCCCAAATCGTACCTTCTTTTGAATCAGCAGCGCCCCGCGTCCCTCTCTCCTCCTCCTCCTCCTCCTCCTCCTCCTCCTCCTCCTCCTCCTCCTCCTCCTCCTCCAACTCCAACTCTAACTCCTCCTCCCTCCTCCTCCTCCTCCTTCTCCTCCTCCTCTCCTCCTCCTTCCTCCCCCTCCCCTCTCTTCTTCCCGTCACTCTTCTTGCCCTCCGCACGTCCGCATCGGCATCGCAGGCATCATCGTTTATTATTATAACCATCACCGTCGGCATCCCTTCTCCTACCTCAGCCCTCCCCATGCTTCATTTCGGCACACCACCTCCATGGCTCCATAGGGAGCTCCCGCTAAGGCCCAAATGCCAGGGTCCGCATGGCTGCGGTGCCTCATTTCGGCACACCCATTCCACGTTTCGTGGCCCCACATGGGGCTCCGGCTGAGGACCCAGTGGCAGGGTTCGCATGGCGTCGGCGCCTCATTCCAGCACTCGATTCGCACGTTCCGTGGCCCCATAGGGAGCTCCAGCTAAGGCCCAAACGCCAGGGTCCGCACGGCGGCGGTGCCTCATCTCGGCGCGCCTCTCGCACGCTTCGTGGCTCCATAGGGAGCTCCCGCTAAGGCCCAAATGCCAGGGTCCGCATGGCAGCGGTGCCTCATTTCGGCACACCCATTCCACGTTTCGTGGCCCCACATGGGGCTCCGGCTGAGGACCCAGTGGCAGGGTTCGCATGGCGTCGGCGCCTCATTCCAGCACTCGATTCGCACGTTCCGTGGCCCCATAGGGAGCTCCAGCTAAGGCCCAAACGCCAGGGTCCGCACGGCGGCGGTGCCTCATCTCGGCGCGCCTCTCGCACGCTTCGTGGCTCCATAGGGAGCTCCCGCTAAGGCCCAAATGCCAGGGTCCGCATGGCAGCGGTGCCTCATTTCGGCACACCCATTCCACGTTTCGTGGCCCCACATGGGGCTCCGGCTGAGGACCCAGTGGCAGGGTTCGCATGGCGTCGGCGCCTTATTCCAGCACTCGATTCGCACGTTCCGTGGCCCCATAGGGAGCTCCAGCTAAGGCCCAAACGCCAGGGTCCGCATGGTGGCGGTGCCTCATCTCGGCACACCTCTCACACGCTTCGTGGCTCCATAGGGAGCTCCCGCTAAGGCACACATGCCAGGGTCCGCATGGCGGCGGTGCTTTCGGCACTTCTCTCGCACGTTTCGTGGTCGCAGAGGGAGCTCCAGCAAAGGCCCAAATCCAAGGTTCGGATGGCGCCGAATGCGGTACTCAAAACGAGGGTACCCACAACCGCATATGGCTGGGTCCCCCGCCAGGGTGATTTTGAAGGATTCTCCCCACTTCGCCCCAATAACGGCTCCAGACGGCTCCGAGCGCCTCCTAGATGGCCCCATCACTGCCCACCAGGCTCCCAAGAGAGGCCCTAGACGGCTGAACCCTAGACGGCTCAAAAGTGCTCCAAGATGGCCCAATAGCTCCCGAAGACGGCTCCAACGAGCCCCATGGGGCATTCAAGTTGGTCCTAAGAGAGTCCCCACAAAGCCCTTGAGAGCCCCAAGGACGCCCCAGGATGGCTCCAGGGTGTGCCGTTCTTCCTCTCCGCTGCCTGCACCGTCTCGCGCCACCTGAGAACGAGGTTCTTGGCCCTCTTCACCGAGCAGCGGGGAGGGGTGCGCAGATTCGCGGAGCGTCGACGCGGCGGTGACCTCAGCGCCAGCATCAAGGGCTCAAAGCCGACACTGGTCCAAAATCGACCGTCGTGAACGATCTCGCGATTTCAAAGCTACCGATCGTGCAGGGTTGAGCGTTCCACGCGGTGTCAAGAGCAACAGTGCAGCTCGTCACGACAGGAACTCACCGTATTCCCTCCTCCACGGAGTCGCTGCCGCGCAACGCTCAGGCGCTCCGAGGTCCTCCACCTGCACTCTTGCTCCCCCCGTGTCCTTTCCACGAGATCCACGAGCCGTTGGGCTTCGACGCCTTATTCTGTGGGGTAAATCTACGGTTTGCGAGTCCCAGGTTCAGCAAAGTGTGGATTCAATCCACGGGCTCGCACTAGTCAGCTACAGTGCTGGGATCAGTGCGTGCGAGAAAGGCGTGCAGTGGCAGCGAGCTTTGGTGCTGATCAGCGATATGCGGGAGGCGAAGTTGGAGGCCGACGTTGTCAGTTACAACGCTGGGATTAGTGCGTGCGAGAAAGGCGGGCAGTGGCAGCGGGCTTTGGCGCTGCTCAGCGAGATTTGGGAGGCGAAGTTGAGCCCGAGCATCACCAGCTACAGCGCTGCGATCAGCGCGTGCGAGAAGTGCTGGCAGTGGCAGCGCGCTCTGGAGCTGCTCAACGAGATCCACGAAGCGACGTTAGAGCCCAACGACACGTCTCCAACAATGCCGGGCGCAGTGCGTGCCAGAATGGTGCCCGACTCGAGTGGGTCGAAAACGGCCCAGGTGGGCCCCGACGCGCCCCCGGGCGGTTCCAAGGCACCCCCAGGCGGCGCAGAGGAGATTTTTGAGGACTCCGTGCGGCCCAGGAGAGCCTCCAGCAGGCCCCCCGAACGAGTCCAAAAGTCCCAAGACGCTTCAAGATGGGGCCAAGGCGGCCCGAGCATTCTGCTTTGCGCAGGGGCCACGAGAAGCGAAAATCGTAAATCCCCCTGATTCCCAACTGAGGTGTTGGCCCCTCGTTCTGAATCAGCAGCGCCCCGCGTCTCCTTCCTCCTCCTCCTTCTTCTCCTCTTCCTCTCATCGTCATCATCATCATCATCATCATCATCATCATCATCATCATCATCATCATCATCATCATCGTCATCATCATCATAATTATCATCATCATCATTGTCGTCGTCATCATCATCATCATCATCACCAGCGTCATCATTACCTTCATTTTATCATCGTCACCATCATCATCACCAGCATTATTATCGTCATCACCATCACCGTCACCATCCTCATCCTCCTCCTGCTCATCATCATCAACATCATCATCATCAGCACTATCATCATCACCATCGTCATCATTACCATCGTCATCAGCATCACCATAATCATCATCAGCAGCATCATCATCACCATCAACATCAACATAATGATAATCATCATCATCATAATCCGCATCACCGTTATCATCAAAATCAGTACCATTTTCGTTGTCGTCAGTCAGTCAACCAGTCGATCAGTCAGTCAGTGAATCAGTCAGCGATACAGTCAATCGATCAATTACCATTTTTTATCATCATTCATATCCGTCATCATCATCAGTATCAGTCTCATCGTCTTCGTCGCCGTCGTTATCGTCGTCGTTGTCAGTCAATCAATCAATCGATCAATCAATCAATCAACCAATCGCCATTAGTACCCACCATCATCATCACGATCATCATCACCACTAGTATCATTATCATCATCAATGACATGACCGTCTTCACCATCATCATTAACATCATTATTATTGTTATTGGTGCTGTTATTTTTGTTGTCGTCAGTCAGTCAGTCAGTCAGTCAGTCAGTCAGTCAGTCAGTCAGTCAGTCAGCGAACCAGTCAATCGATCAACCACCATTATTTCTCATAACTAACTCGTCATCGCTGTCATCACCATCACCATCATCAACATCACCACCATCATTATCATCATCATCATCATCATCATCATCATCATCATCATCATCATCATCATCATCAGTACCAGTATCATAATATTCGTCGTTGTTATCGTCCGCGTCGTCAGTCAGTCAGTCAGTCAACCCTACCAGCAGTACTCATCATCATCACCACCACCAGCAGCATCATCATTATCATCATCAACAGCATCATCATCATCATCGTCATCATCATCATCATCATCATCATCAACAACAACAGCAACAACAACATCATCATCATCATCATCAGCACCAGCACCAGCACCAGCAGCACCAGCATCACCCTTGTCATCATCATCCTTTTCGTTATCGACATCAACAGTGTCACCGTCATCAGTCACATGTCTGCGCGCCTCGCACACATTTTGTGACGCCACATGCGGGCTCGACCGAAGGCGCAGTGGGAGGGTCCTCATGGCGCCACCGCAACCATCTCGGCACACTCCTCACACGCTTCGTAGCCCCATACAGGGAGCTCCACCGAAGGCCCACTGGAAAGGTCCACAGAGCGCAACCGCACGCACTTCGTCGCACCCCTCACGCGTCTCGTGACCCCGCAGGGAGCCCCCACGAAGACCTCCGTGGGACGGTCCGCACGGCGCCGCCGCGCCCACGTGGGCGCACCCCTCGCACGCTCTGTGGCCCCGGGGAGCGGCGAAGTGCCCCAGACAGAGGCCCCCATCACGGCCGCAGGTGGCCACCTGTCCGCACCGCCCCCCGCCCCAGCCAGTGGCAAGCACCTTTCCCCGTGGTCTCCACGCTTCCCAGGAAGGCCGCCCGGGAAAAGCGGACCCGGGTCTCCGCGTCAACTAGGGGGCCACATGCGAACCCTACCCCGACCCCCCACGATTTCTGAGGGGAGGGTGGGGTTCACTTCGCTCGGGAGCTCCCGAACGAAGTGAACCCCATCCTCCCCCCTCAGAAATCATGGGGGTTAGGGGTAGGGCTCGCATGTGGCCCCCTATCAACTTCGTGATGCTTCCTGGGGAAGCTGTGCGGGTGTCCAGGCCTTCCAGGCGCCTCTTCGCGCACGGTGGGCGGGTCGACCAGGAGGCGTTCCCGGGCAGGCCGCCCGGAGAAAACGCATTTTGTGGTCAGCACGAGGGCCGACGCTGACGCGTTCGAGTAGGTGATTGGCCGCGCCTGGCCATGCTCACCCTAAGACGGGGGGCGGCCGCAGAGGAGGAGAGGCCCCAGACTTGAAGAGTCTACGCCACGAGGAGCGCGCGGGCAGTCTCGGGCACCGGAAGCCGGTGTACACGCAGAGAGCACGCGTCAGGGGCAACGATAGGAGGGCATAGGCTCAGGGGGGGGGGATGCGTTGACCCCCAATCGCCCATTGTTCGCCGACAGGGGCCCGATGGCCCCCCTCGCCCAAGAACGTGCGGTTTCGCTATGGGGGTCTTCTCGCCGATCTGTCGTCGACGTATCGCGGGGGGAGGCGACTTTCTCGGGCCACTGCGCGGTGCGACCGCGTCGAACGTCATCCGCCAGGAGCTGCCCGGGCCGCCCGGGAGAGGCGTCCGGAGGAGGAGGAGGAGGAGGAGGAGGAGGAAGGGAGGAGGAGGAGGAGGAGGAGGAGGGGAGGAGGAGGAGGAGGAGGAGGAGGAGGAGGAGGAGGAGGAGAGGAGGAGGAGGAGGAGGAGGGGGGAGGGGAGGAGGGGGAAGGAGGGAGTAGGAGGGGAGAGGGGGGAGGAGGAGGAGGGGCGCGCGGCGCGGGCAGCCAGCTGTTCCCCCGAGCGCCCCTCCGCAGTCCGAGAGGCGGGCGGGTCTTGTCGGCGGCTTTCCCCGGCATGCCGCCGCCGGGGAGAGGCGCGGAGGCTACGGCGGGAGGGGAAAAGTTTGCAGCAGCCTCCTCCCTCTCCTCCTCCTCCTCCTCTCTCCTCCTCCTCCTCCTCCTCCTCCTCCTCCTCCTCCTCCTCCTCCCCCTCCTCCTCCTCCACCTCCTCCTCCTCCTCCTCTCCCTCCTCCTCCTCCTCCTCCTCCTCTCCTCCTCCTCCTCCTCCTCCTCCTCCTCCTCCTCTCCCCCGCCTTCTGCCGCCTTCTGCCCCAGAGGCCCCACAGGAGGGCCGTGCCAGCAGCACGCGTTCTGCACTGCACGCCCGTGGAGTCCAGGGCGACCGTCGTGGGGTGCGCAGGCTTTCCAGCAGCCCCCATCGCCGGAAGCGGTGGTGTCAAGCGAGAGCGACAAGCAACGTCCCAGGCCGTGTCTCGGGCGGGCTTGCCCCTTCAGACATTCGGTGGGTTCTCCAGTGCCATGCTGCTTTCACGGTGCCGTATCGCGAACAATCCAATTTTCTCAGATGTTCTGTTGCGCCATGCTGTGCTGTGTCCGCCATGTCGTGTCGCGATCTGGCTTGTCCTCCCGCATTTTGCGTTGTGTTGCTTGCGCTGTGCTCTTCATCCTTGCATGCGAATGAACTCGCGTGGACTGTAGTTCATGGGTCAGTCCTAGTCAGCTTCAGCGCTGGGGTCAACGCGTGCGAGAAAGGTGGACAGTGGCAACAGGCGCTGTGCATGCTCAGGGACATGCGTTTGAGAAATTTGGACGCGGGCATCGCCGTCTGCGTCTGCGGGATCATAGTCAGCATGTGCGAGCAAGGCGGGCGATGGAAGCAAGTGCTGTGGTTGCTCAATGAGGTGCGTGGCCAAAGTGCGGTGGAATGATACAGAATACGGTGCAATGCTTGCCAAAGCGCGTGCGATCGAGCCAAACTCTGTCACTACTCCAGGCTTGTGGAGGACGTTGTGCTGCGCTGCCTCGAGCCCGCTTTAAGAGCTCTCTGTACCTCTCGGACGCGTTTCGAGCTCCTCTGGGCCCTCGGCAAGCCTCCAACCCAGGCCCGCGATGCTGTCCAAACGCATCGAACATCGTGATGTGGTCCTTCAATGTCATCTGATTCGCCCTTGCCCTTCTCTGCCACGAGGTCTTTCCGAAACTCGTGATGTCTCCAGCTCAAACTACGGGTCACTCGAGGATTCTCGAAACGATCCATCAGGTCTCCGACGAGCCCAGCCCCTTTCCAGATCCACTCCAGACTGCTTCTCCCGTGCGCCCAGCCGGACCCTGCTACTCCAGAGAGATCTCCGACTCCGACGGCGTCTGGGGTGCGCCCCCAGATTCCCATGATTGCCGTTTCTTTGTTTCTTTGTTTTGCTTTATCATTTTTATTTATTTATTTATTTATTTATTTATTTATCTATTTATTTATTTATTTATTATTATTATTATTATTATTTCGTTACAATACAAAAACTGTGTTTTCATTGTTCCTTTGTTTTTCTTTGTTTCCTTGTTTTCCCATGATTGTCTTTTCTTTGCTCCTTCGTCCTTTTTTCTTCGTTTCTCTGTTTTTCTGCGTTTTTGGTCGAGATTGCCCTTTCTCTGCTTCTTGTTTTGCTTTATCCGCTCCTGAGCTACGGGGCCAGTCTCTGGAGGCTGCCGGCGCCGACCTCCGCGCTGCCCGGGGCCTCCGAGCAGAGCCCCTCGCGAGGCCCGCCCCATGCGGCAGGCGGTGGCCCGGAGCGCGCCGGGAGGCGTGGCCTGCTGCATGACGGACGAACAACACACACACCCATACCCATAGGGGGGTCGTTGGGAGGAGGACTGGCTATGGGTATGGGTGCGGGTTGTCGGACCCTGGGGAACGCTCCCGTTCGAACGGGGACCACCATCCGACAACACGCACCCATAGCCCTCTCCGACCCCCCTGTGGGCATGGGTGTGTGTTGTTGGTCCGTCACTGCAGCCGGTGGCGAGGGCCTCTGGGGGCAAGTTGCCGAATGTGTTCCTCGGGCCGCCCGCGGGCTCTGACCCGCGCCGCTTCTCGCAGGCGATGTTTCTCCCCCCCCGCCCCCGACGTTCCCCCCCAAAAGGGAGGTCGCTCAGAAAAGGACACCCCACATGGGGGCCGTTCGGACGCACCCCTATCGAGGATGGTCGCCCCCCCCCTCGCACAACTCCGAGGGTTGGGCCCGAAGTCTCTGGCCCATCTAGAGAACCCCACGAGGCCTGGGATACGGGTCGGCACATGCCCTGCTCTCTTCCTCCGCCCTCCTCGTGCTTCTCGCTCCTTGGCCGTGGCTCCTCCCCCCACGCTCCTTCGGCCTTGCTCCTCGTCTCCCGCACCTCGCCCCCCGGCTCCTCACTCCTCGCGCCAGTCCTCTCGGTCCTCTCGATCCTTCTCTTCCTCCCCCTCCTTTTTCCTCCTCCTCCTCCTCCTCCTCCTCCCTCCTCCTTCCTCCCCCTCCTCTTTCCTCCTCCTCCTCCTCCTGCTCCTCTTCCTCCTCCTCCTCCTCCTCAATCCTCCCCCTCCTCTTTCCTCCCCCTCCTCCTCCTCTTCCTCCTCCTCCACCTCCTCCTCCTGCTCCCCCTAATTATCCTCCTATCCTCCCTCCTCCTCCTCCTCCTCCTCCTTCTGTCCCTCCTCCTCCTCCTCCTCCTCCTCGTCCCTCCTCCTCCCTCCTCCCCCCTCGCCCTCCCCTTTCTCCTCCTTCTCCTTCTCCTCCCCTCCTCCTCCTCCTCCGCTTGCTCTTCCTCGTCCTCCTGCTCCTCCTCCTCCTCCCCCTCCCCCCTCGCCCTCCCCTTTCTCCTCCTCCTCCTCCTCCTCCTCCTCCTCCTCCTCCTCCTCCTCCTCCTCCCCCTCCTCCTCCCCCTCCTCCCCCTCGTGCCCCTCCTCCGCTTGCTCCTCCTCGTCCTCCTCCTTCTTTTTGCTCCTCCCTCCGCCCTCCTCGTCCTCGCTGCCTCTTCGCTGATTGCTCCTCGCTTCTCCCCCCTCCCTCTTCGATTTCCTCGCTCTTTGCGCCTTGCTCCTCGATCCCCTCCCAGCAGCAGGTTGCGTCAGCCAGACAGCGGGCAGCAGCACGTGCCAAGCAGAACTGGTCATCAGCAGTACCCTGCAGCCACCTGTTCTCGTGTAGTGTCCGCTTGCGGTTATTGAATGACCCCCTCCCCCCCGAGGCTGATGAGCCAAACCCGCGGGGCGCGACACCATTTTTTCATCACGCGCGCCAGGGCTCGGAGGGCTCGGGGTGCCACCGCGCCGCGGAGGAGGACAAACGGCATGAGCGACGCGCCGCCTCCGAGGGGGAGCACACCCGCGCAATGCACCGCAGTGCACATGTGAGTAGTGCGCGCATGAAGATGTGCGTTGGCCCAAGGGGCCCTGCGGGGCGCGCTGCCCGCCGCATTGAGCTTGTGAGCGTGCGCCGCTCGAGGCTCGAGGTTTCGTTGAGGCCCTGGCTTCTTCTGCTCGTCTGGCCTGCGTTTTACCGAATGGTCGCCGTGAGGGTCGCCGCGGACGTCGTTCGCCCCCACCACCATAGGGTTCGTTCGCACAAGGTTCGCCCCCACCATAAAAGGTTGCCCCCCCATCGGGTTTGCCTCCGCCATGATCGTCTTCACCTCCACCACCATAAGATTGTGTATGTTCGATGCAATGAGCCTCTTGCCCTACAGCGGCCGCTGTCGGCTTCGGACGACACTGGTGGACGGCGTGGCCAATTTTCCCACGCCCACTTCGGATGCACCGATCCTGGCTCTGCGCCTGGCTGGCTCGCTTTTTAGGCCTCGCTGCGGGGCGCCGCAGTGGACACGTGTCCTGCGGGAAGGGGGCCTTGGCAGGCTTTTCCCGTTTTCGGGTCCCAGTGCTTTCGGCGGGCCCCGGGGCAATCGAACAAACGAAACGACCGAGCTGGTCCTCGCGAGAACTCCAGGGTCCATGACCCGCTTCGTTGGCTTGTTTCCATCGTGGCGACGGGAACTCCGCTCGACTGAGGAACAGGAAAACCATGCGGCGGTGGGGGAGGCGACGGTAAGGGCGGCCACTGCCTTTGCGTCTGCCGCCCCTCCCTCCCTCCAGCCGCCTCTCTTCACCCCCCAGTCCGTGGACATTTTGGCCCGAGCGCCCAGCATCAGCGGAGGCGCTGCTGCGCCTGTCGCCCTCTCGCTGGCGGCTGGGCGTCGGCGCCAATCACGGCTCCGCCGTGGCATGTTTCCATCTGGCGGGCGCCCCCGCGCGATTCGCCCGAGCAAGGGAACAATTTTTTGATTCTCGCCCGCGGTTCATTTTTGTTGACCGCAAGCTGACATTCTTCGCGTTTCTGGCGCCATGACGCCCAAACCGACCCAAAAGGCTTCCGAAGTCGGCCAAGGCGGCCCAGGCAGTCTCGCAGAGGGCCCGACCATGCCGAAAACAGCTTCGGAGGGCTCCAGGACGGTTCGACACGCTCTCCAAAGACCGCCACGAGGGCCAAACAGACCCCCAGAGAGCCCCGAGACGGTCCAGGACTGCCCCACGACGGCCCCGAAACGCCCCCAAGATGGCCACAATGCCCCCCAGCACGGCCTCAACTTCGGGCAAATTCCGTGGACGGTAGCCCATGTGCCATCCCTAGTCTGCTACAATGCTCGGGTTAGCGCGTGCGAGAAAGGTAAGAAATGGCAGCAGGCTTTTGCGTTACTTGATGACATGCGGGAGGCGAAGGTGGAGCCTGGCATCGTCTATCTTGCAATGCGCGGGGCAGCGTGTTGAAGGTGCCAGTCGTGGCAAAGCCAAGGGGGGGCCTCCGGGGCGGCCCAGACGGCCCAAGCGAGCCCAAAAGGTTTCCAAGTTCGACGAATGCTCCAAGTACGGCCGAGGATGGCTTCAAGATGGCCCTATATGGCGTCCAAGCGGCTTCAGGGGACCCGCGAATAGCCCAAGGCAGCTTCCAGCCAGCCGAAAGGCTTTCCAAAAGGCTCCCGGAACTCTCCAAGAACACTCCCAGCAGGGCTTCCCGGTGCAACACATGAGATTTTTCTATATGCTTTCCAGTATGTTTAGCATGTGCGACTTTTGGGCCTGTGCAGCGTCCACGACGGCCTAACAACCCCAACCATTGTTCCAAGCCAACCAAAGAGGCCCCCCAGAGAATCCCAAAGCGGTTCGAAAGAACCCCAAGACGGCCCAAGACGACCCAAGAGAGCCCCAAGACGGACCAAGAGGCGCCCAAGACCACCCAAGATGGCCCAGAGGTGGCCCGCGAACGCCCCATGTGCGCCCCAAGACCGCTCCCAGAGAGCCCGAAGAGGCCTCCGCCACCGCATGCTACAACGCACCCCCTTGTGGTAGCATTCGTCGGATGCTTTCTGAGGGCCCTCTTGGGGCCGTAATCGGGCCGCCAGGTTCCTCGGCTACATCATCTACAACATCTGTCAGCCAAGAGGCTGTCGCTGCCTGTCGGCCCCGCCTCGTTTCCATGCCAGGGCACCTGCGGATTTGTTCCACGGGGGCGCTAGAAGTAAGCTTCAACGCTGGGATCAGCGCCTGCGAGAAAAGTGGGCATTGGCAGCAGGCTCTGGCGCTGCTCAGCGAGATGAGGGCGAAGGTGGTGCCCGACGTCATCTACCCTGCACGGCCAGGAGAAGCGCGTGCCAGAAGGGTGAGCACCAGGACGCGGCTCAACTGGCCAAAATTGCCCCCGGCCCCCAGCGGACCTTGCAGGCCCTGGCAGGCCTTGGCGGGCTCCGAGACGGCCCCAGATGGCCCGAGATGCCAGCCCAAGAGGTCGCCAATAGGGTTTCAGACGGCCCAACAGGGCCCCAAGGCGGCCCAAGACGGCCCCCAAGAGGGCCCCGAGAAGCGAAAACCATTGATTCGTCTTGTGAATTTTCAATGCTTTCGACGTTCTCGCCAATTGACGCTCCAAGACGAGACGGCCCAAGAGGCCCGAACGATCGCCCCAAAACGGCACAACAGGCCCCTGAGAGGGACAAGACCGCCCAACTGGCCCCCAAGGCGGGCCCCTCCGGGCTTCGAGACGGCTCAAGATGGCACACGACGCCCCCAGAAGGCCCACGAGGTCGACAAGATGGCATTCAGACGGCCCAAAAGACGGCCCAGGAGAGCTCCAAGAGGCCTCCCAAGAGGGCTTTGGGAGGCCAGCATCATTGTTTTTCTGTTGGGTTTTCCACGGATTTGGGAGTTCTCGTTTTTTCGGACTTCGATGCTCCAAGATGGCGCGAGAGGCCCGATTGCCCCCACACGGCCCAACAGGGCCCCGAGACGGCTCCCAGGCGGCCCAAGAGTGCCCCAAGACCGCCCAAGCGGCTCCCGAGGAGGGCCCAAGAGGGCTACAAGAAGGGGAACTCGATGCGACACTCCGCGCCCTCCGTCCCAAGAGGGTCCCCGAGACTGCCAGCTGGCCCCCCAAGGCGTCCCCCAGAAGCCCCAGGAGGCCCCCCAGAGGCCCAAATCAGGCCCCAACTGGCACCAGCAGCACACAGTAACAGGAAGTAGCAGCAGACAGCGGGCAATATCACGCACGAAACAGAAATGACCATCAACAGCACCCTGCAGCCTCGAGCAGCAACAACACGCAGCAGCGGCAAGCTTTCCAACAGCACGCAACAGCGGCAGCAAGCAACATAGTGCAGCAGCATGTGGAGAACGCGAGGGTCCAACCCTGCGTAATCATTTCTGCTTTTCGGCAGTGCGTCTACCATCACATGCCAGTCACATGGACGTAGTCCACGGGTCAGCCCTAGTCACCTACAGCGCTGGGATCAGCGCGTGTGAGAAAGGCCAGCAGTGGCAGCGTGCTTTGGCGCTGCTCGGCGAGATGCGGGAGGCGAAGGTGGAGCCCAACATCATCTCCACGCTGCTGGATGCTCTGCGTGCCAGAAGGCGAGTGGTCACTGACTCCCAGATCGGCCTAGCAGGCCCTGAGCAGCCTCCCAAGCGACCGACGGACAGTCTGGCAGAAAACGTCAGTGGGAAGGACGCCATAGGAGGCCATAGGAAGCTAATGTGCTACCAGACGGAGCGGCAGACAGGACCAGCCAGGGGGGAAAAAACCATGGGAAGCCACAGGCAGTCGAGCGATCACCCGAGAGAGTGCGGCAGGCAAAGCGAGTGGGATGGGAAGCCGCAGAGAGCCACAGGAGGCCAACAAGTCGCTGGAAAGTGTGTCAGGCAGGACCAGTGGTGGGTCGGGGGTTGCTTAAGGTACCCATGGCCCAAGGTGCCCCCAGCTTTCGCTCCATTTTGGAGCCCCTGGGGCCTTCCGGGCCTCGTGATGGGTGCTTTGGAGGCCGTGGGGGCCTCTTTGGAAATCCTGGAGTCTCGGGGGCACTTTGGGCCAGGGGCACCTCTAGCAACACCCGAGTGGTGTGTGTGTGTGTGTGTGTGTGTGTGTGTGTGTGTGTGTGCGTGTGCGTGTGCGTGTGCGTGTGCGTGTGCGTGTGCGTGTGCGTGTGCGTGTGCGTGTGCGTGTGCGTGTGCGTGTGCGTGTGCGTGTGCGTGTGCGTGTGCGCGTGCGCGTGCGCGTGCGTGCGTGCGTGCGTGCGTGCGTGCGTGCGTGTGTGTGTGTGTGTGTGTGTGTGTGTGTGTGTGTGTGTCTGTGTCTGTGTCTGTGTCTGTGTCTGTGTCTGTGTCTGTGTGTGTGTGTGTGTTTGGGGGGACGCCCTGGCGACCCACTCGGAGCCAATCGACCACCGGACGGACGGTGCATCAGACAAGGTCAGCGGAAGGGGGGGGCGAAGCGACAGGAGGCCAGAGGAAGCCGAGCGGCCACCAGGCGGTGCGGCAGACAGGTGGAGCGGGGGGGGGGAAACCCACAGAGCCATCGGAGGGGAGTGGGAGCTATAGGAGGCCAGAGGAAGCCGAGCGGCCATCAGGCGGTGCGGCAGACAGGTGGATCGGAGGGGGGGATGAACCCATTGAGCAGGAAGCCGCAGGAATTCGCAGGATGCCATCAGAGGCCGAGGGCTGCCACCAGAAAGCGCGGCAGACGACGCCAGTGTGGGGGGAGGAAAGCCACAGGACGCCAAGCGGCCACTGGCAGGTGCGGCAGGCGAGAGGCCGGTTCTTCAGAGCACAAGTAGGAGACCCACAGTGCAAGCGCTGTTTCGGACATGTCGTCCTGGACCGGCTTTCAGTGCAGAACGAACCTGGCCATTTGTCCAGGCGTGTCGCGGACCTGTCTGCGAGCGTGCAAAACGTATCCTGCGTCTTCAGCTGCAACGCCGTGATCAGCGCGTGCGAGAAAGGCGAGCAGTGGCAGCAGGCGCTGGCGCTCTTCGGCGAGATTTCGGAGGCACAGCTGGAGCCCAACGTCATCCGTGCTGCCGTTCTGGCCGTGGCGCGAACGGCAGGGGGGGAGGCAGGTGGCTCGAGGTGCCCCCGCGCGCCCGCAGCGCACAACCGCTCCTCCGGAGAGCCCCTCGGTGGCCCCAGGGGACGGCCTCCGACAGCCCCAAGGCGGCTCTGAGGCGCTCTCCGGAGCGCACGAGGACGGCCCAGGAGGATCGGGGGTGGACAGACCTCCTACCCTGACACGTCGATTAGTGAATTGTCCGTGTTCGGTTCTCGAGAGGGCGCCGCGGCCGTTCTTTTTTATAGGCTTGCGCCCGCCAGGTTTGGGCCCGAGGTCGTTTTCACTAAACCACGTTCTACTAAAGGGAGGTCTGTCCATCCCCGAGAGGACCCGAACGGTGCCCCCTGACAGACCAAGACGGCCCGACGACTGGCCGGGTGCCTTCGACAACGGCCGAACCAGACCCCAGGTGCCTCCGGGGTTTTCAAAGGTTGTCCATGTCCTCACCATTTCGGACGAAGAACGGCCCCAGACGGCTGCAGGGCCATCCCAGATCGCACCACGACGGTCCAGGAGGCCCCGCCAAGTGCCCCAAGACGGCCCCAGAGGGCCGAAGACTGCCCAAGAGAAGCCCACGACAGCCTCATAGAGCCGCCGGTGGCCCCGCAAACAGTCCCAAGAGGGCCTCAGGATCTGCCCAACTTGTCCCAAAGCGGGTTCCAAGACGGCCCGAGATCGCCGACGTCGCCCCAGGACAGCCCGAGAGGCCCCCGAGACGGCTCAGGAGATCCCCCCAATGGGCCAAGAGGTCCCCAAGAGCTGCCGAAGAGGTCTCGAGCGGGCTCCCAGACGGCGCGAACCATCCAACCTAGCCCCCAGACGTCCCAATACTCCCAAATTCAACAGCCCTCCCAGATGGCTCCAGGACGTCCCTACAAGCCCCCACGACGGCCCAAGAGCACTCCAACATGGCCTCAGGAACGCCTCGGAGGCTCCAGAAAGATCCCCAAGAGGCCTCCAAGAGGTTCCGAAGATGGTCCAGACGACGGGCCGCCCGCAGTTCCCAATGGGCCAAGAACCTTCCCAGGCCACTCGTTCCCAGGACCACTCCGATGCCCCAGAGTCTCCCAGGAGCCAAGAGACTCCGACACTCGCCAAGGAGCTTTAAGCAGAGTGCCATCAGCCACTGCACCCTTTCGCCGTCTCTGGAACCCCAGAAGCCCCCCAAAAAGCCGCGGACCCCGAGCGAAGCCCCAGACCACTTCGAGGCGCCCTAGACCATCCCAAGATACTCTAATAATTCCAAATTCCGACGGCGCTCCCAAGAGAGGTTCCCGCCCTGGTGCCTCCCATGTAGCCTTCAACAAAGCCTCTTACCCATACAATGCCCAACGAGCCTCCCGTTCAGCTCTCTTCTCTCGTTCATCCTCATCCTCCTCCTCCTTCCTCCTCCCTCCTCCTCCTCCTCCTCCTCCTCCTCCTCCTCCTCCTCCTGATCCTTCTCCTTGGCTCCCTCTTCTCCAAGCTCCAGCCACTCTGGGGCCCCCACGCAGCTGATGCGGGATGGCACAGGGGACACGTAGACACCTCGTAGCCCCTGCAGCAGCCCCCGCACCCTTTTCTGTCTCTGGAAGCACCCCAAAGAATCCAAAGACGGTCCTCACTCCACATCTACTCTCGTCCCCCTCGGCCTCCTGCTCGCTCCTGCTCCTCGCTCCCTCCTCCTCTCCCCCCCGCACCCCAGCACGTCTCGGGCCCCCTCCCTGCTATGAGGGGTGACAGTGGGGGACCTTCTCTTCTCCACCCTGGCTTCCTCGTCTGTGAGCCTGCACCTCCCTCTCTCTGGACTGCTCTCTTCCTGCACCCCCCTTTCCGATTCAGGGTGGCAAGGGGGACCTTTTGCTATCTTCTTTACCTCAGCGTCCTCCTCTGGGAGCCTGCACTCCTCTCATCTCCAGTACCGCTTACCTCCTCCTCCTCCTCCTCCTCCTCCTCCTCCTCCTCCCCCTCCCTCTTCCTACTTCTCCTCTTTCTCCTCCACCTCCTCCTCCTCCTCCTCCTCCTCCTCCTCCTCCTCCTCCTCCTCCTCCTCTTCCTCTTCCTGCAAGAGGCTGCAGCGAGCCTGGACTGCGGGAAGCCTCCGATACCACAGGAGCCCTCCGGGGACCACTCCGAGATGGCACCGAATGCCCCAAGACACTCGAGGAGGAGAGGAGGAGGAGGAGGAGGAGGAGGAGGAGGAGGAGGAGGAGGAGGAGGAGGAGGAGGAGGAGGAGGAGGAGGAGGAGGAGCCCGAAACCTCGACCATCGATGCTTGGGCCCCCCGGGGCGCCCGAGGTCTCGGGAGGCCCCCGCCGGGCGTCCGAGGCCTCGCGAGGCCGCGCGCGGCGAGGCTGCAGGGCGGGGCCGGGCGCCCACGGGGCAGAGCACCTGTCGGGGACCTCCACGGGCCTCCTCCTCCTCCCAACCCTCTCCCCTCCTCCCCCTACCTCCTCCTCCTCCTCCTCCTCCTCCTCCTCCTCCTCCTCCTCCTCCTCCTCCTCCTCCTCCTCCTCCTCCTCCTCCTCCTCCTCCTCCACCCCCCCTCCTGCTACCCTCCTCCCCCCCCCCCACTCCTCCTCCTCCTCCTCCTCCTCCTCCTCCTCCTCCTCCTCCTCCTCCTCCTCCTCCTCCTCCTCCTCCTCCTCCTCCTCCTCCTCCTCCGCGGGTTCACATTCGTCTCTCCTACACGGCCGGGGGAAGCGCGTGCGGGAAGGGAAACGGATCACGTGTTCAAAATCGGTCTCGGCGGGCCCCTGGCGCGGCCTCGGCAGGCCCCTGGCTGGCGCGTGCCCGCGTGCCTCCGGGCGGCACGCTTCGAGACGCCTTCAGGGAGCGCCGAGATCGGGCGGCTAATAGCCCCAACATTGTCCCAAGACAGCCCCAGAGGCCGTCCAGACGACTCGCGGCGGCCAAAAGTATCTGATTTTTGCATGTTTCTTACCTGATTATCAGGTTCTCGCGATTTCGAGCCAAGAGCGGCCCCAGACGGTTCTTGGGGCCCCCCCGAACGCTCCAAGGCCGCCCAAGAGCTTTGGTAAGGGTCCAAAAGCGGCCTAGGAGGGCTCCAAGGGGTTCCCGGAGGAGCCCAAGATGGCCCAAGCAAGCCCCAAGACGGCCCGAGATAGCCCCTCGGAGCCTCTAAACGGGCCCCAAGAGCCGCCCAAGAGGGCTCACGGAGAGCTCCGAGACAGCTCAAGAGCCCCAACATGGCCCCAAAACGGCACCAGAGGCCGTCCAGACGGCTCGCGGCGGCCAAAAATCATTGATTCCTCTCGCTTCGCGGGGTGCACGTCCGGAGCGCGTACAGTCCAGTCGTGCCTCTTGGGGCTTTCTAGGCCCGTCTTGAGGCCTTCTTGGGCCCGGAAAAGCTTCGTTGTGCGCTCGTCCCGGGCGAGGGGGGGGGTCAAATCTCCGGTTTGGGGTCCCTTGGTGGGGGTTATGGGGGGGGGAACTATGTCACACGCCTAGAGACCCACAAGGGGTCGGCGGATTCTTCTATGGTGTTTGCTTGATTTTCAGGTTCTCGCGATTTCGAATTTCGAGCGGCCCAAGACGGCTTCTGGGCCCCCCACGAATGCTCCACGGCTCAAGTGGCTCTGGCAAGGGCCCCAAGACGGCTCAGGATTGCTTCAAGACGGCTCCCAGAGGAGCCCATAATGGCCCAAGAGAGACCTAAGACGGCGCGAGAGCGCTCCCCCAGGAGCCCCCAGACGGGCCCCAAGAGCCGCCCAAGAGGACTCACAGGGAGCTCCGAGACGGCCCAACACCCCAACATGGCCCCTACACGGCCCCAGAGGCCGTCAAGACGGACCGCGGCAAACGAAATCATTGATCCTCCGATGGTTATTCAATTTTTAGCCATTTCGAGCCAAGACCAGTCCAAGACGGCCATTTCGAGTCAAGACCGGCCCAAGTTGACGGGGACGAAGTCCACGGGTTTGCCCCAGTCTCTCCTACAACGCTGGGATCAGCGCGTGCGAGAAAGGCGCACAGTGGCAGCGGGCTCTCGCGCTGCTCAGCGACGTGCGGGCGGTGAGCATGAGGCCCCACGTCGTCAGCTACAATGCTGGAATCAGTGCGTGCGAGAAGGGCGGGCAATGGCAGCGGGCTTTGACGCTTCTCAGCGAGCTGCGGGATGTGAAGCTGGAGCCCAGCATCATCTTTCTCTCTCTCTCTCCGAGTAGGGAAGCGACAACAGAATTGAGTTACCCCGAAATTGATTTCCCCGTCGTATCTACGAAACATACGCGGAATGCTTCGTAGATTTGCAGAGCATCCTCCGTATTTCTCGTAGATTCAACGGAAAGTAAATTCGGGGGTAAATCAATTATGTAGTTGATCCCCTACTCGATCTCTGTCTGTCTCTGTCTCTGTCTCTGTCTCTGTCTCTGTCTCTGTCTCTGTCTCTGTCTCTGTCTCTATCTCTGTCTGTCTGTCTCTCTCTCTCTCTCTCTCCCATAGTGCCAGCCGCAGTGAGTGCGAGAAGGGCGCTAGCCTCAAGCGGGTGAGAATCGGCCCGGCGGGCCCCCGACACGCCCCCTCGGGCGCCCTTCCGAGCATGCCAAGACGGCCCAGCGGAGGCCGCCGAGGGCTCCGAGCGCCCCAAGAGAGCCTTCAAGACGTGCCCACGAGGGCACAACAAGCCCCTTAGGTGGCCCACGATGCCCCGGGGCTGGCGCCATGGTGGCCCGAAGCTGCTCCAAGATGGCTCCGTCGAGGGCCGCCAGGGGCCCCAGGTCAGGTCAGGTCAGGTTTGCCTTGCACCCGACGGTGCGTGAGCACTAAAAGAGGAGGAGGAGGCGGAGGAGGAGGAGGAGGAGGAGGAGGAGGAGGAAGACAGGCGGGGGGGCGCACGGCGCAGAATGCCCAGGGCCCCCAATATGCGCAAAACGTCTGCACTTCTGGCGCTTTTCAAAGCAGTGCGAAGCAATACAAAGCAGTGCGAAGCAATGCAAAGCAAATTCGAAGCAATGCATTGCAATGCAAAGCAACGCAACGCAATGCAAAGCATTGTAAATCAGTGGCGACCAATTCAAATCAATGCAACGCATTGCAAATAGGTGCAACGCAATGCAAAGCAATGCAAAGCAATGCAACGCACTGCCAAACAATGCTGAAACATTAATTCAACGCAATGCAAAGCAATGCGAAGCAATTAATTGCAATGCGAAGCAATGCAACGAAATGCAAAGCCCTGCAATGCAATGCAGTTGCAATGCGGTTGCAATGCAAAGGAATGCGACGCAATGCAAAGACATGTCAAGCAATGCGAAGCAGTGCAAAGCAATGTCAAGCAATGCGAAACACTGCGAAGCAATTCAGAGCAATGCAACGCAATGCAACACAATGCAGCTATGGTATGCTATGCCATGCTGTGGTTTGCTATGCTTTGCTATGCTATGCGAGTGGACGAGTGCGAGTGGACGAGTGCAAGTGGCGGCGAGAGACAGCTCTAGGCTATGCTATGCTATGCCATGCTATGCTTTGCAATCCCATGCGAGTGGACAAGAGCTTTTCGACGAGTGCGAGTGGACGAGTGCAAGCGGCGGCGACGGACGGCGGCGACGGGCGCGACGGGCGGCACCGCGCCAGCCAGACTGGCACTGTTGCGGCGACGGGCGGCGGCGATGGGAGACGACGGGCAGCAATGAGCTGGCCGGACTGGCATTCGTGCTCAGAAGGGAACTAACAACCCCTAAGGGCAAGCAATGTTAGAGCAAGCAACAGCACTTTGCAACATGACGCAGCAACAGCAGCAGCAGCAGCACCCAGCAAAAGCAATCAGCAGCAGCACCCCCGCAGGTTGTTGCAGCAAGCAGTAGTAAATATGCAGCAGCAGTAAATTGCAGCAGCATTCATCATTCAACAGCAGCCTACACCAGCACGGTTAAGCATTAGTAGACTCCCGCGGCAGCATGCAGCAGCAGGCCCGCGGCTTCAACCAGCACCACGCAGCAGCACGAAGCAACGCCAGACCGCATCAAGCAGCAGCGCGCACTAGTAAGCACCAGACCATAGCGGCGAGCAGCAAGCATCAGCAAGCTTCAGCAAGCGGCAGCGAGTGGCAAGGCATGATGCGGGCGACCAGGCCCCAAAGTGTCAGGCCACCAGGCTAGCAGCCACGCAAGCAGGACAGCAAGCAGGTTATCGAGCAGGCAAGCGATCCTCACTCTTGCATGCGATTCAGTTTCCGTGGACAGTAGTTCCCGGTCAGCCCCAGTCAGCTACAACGCAGGGATCAGCGCGTGCGAGAAAGGCGGACAGTGGCAGTGGTCTTTGGCGCTGCTCAGCGAGGCGTGGGAGGGGCACTTGGAGCCCGACGCCATCAGCTACAATTCTGGGATCACCGCGTGCGAGCACAGCCAGCAGTGGCACTGGTTCTCGGCGATGCTCAGCGAAATATGACGGCGCCCAGCACCTGCGCAGACTATGTACTCGAGCACCTTCCCCAACCTCTGGGCAGCCTGGCCCAGGCCTTCCGAGTCGCCTCGCGTTCCACCGTTCAAGGTCGATGTTCCTCCCTCCCCCCCCCTCCCGAGCCAGTGCCCCCCCTAACATTCAGTCCGGCATGTCATTCAACAGGAGGAATCTTCAAGAATAGTCAAGAAATAGTCTGGGGACGATTTTTTGTGCTCTTTGGACTGTGCTTGAGCATTTTTGTTTGGGGGCTAGCTTTGTGTCCACCCTCAGGGGAGGGCCCGCCTGGCGCGGCTGCCCCGTGCCCCGAGGACTCCAGTCGAAGAAACCAGCGCCTGCCGCCGTGAAGAAGTCGGGAGGGGTAGACGTACATAGAGAGGTAGCATTCAGTCGGGCCTGTCCCTCTACAAGAGGAAAATTCAGAAATAGTGAAAAAAAGTCAGGGGGATATTTTTCGATAGTTTTCCCGGCGGAGCCGGGTGAAATTCCGTGCCCGCCGGTGACTGACTGACTGACTGATTGACTGAACGTCAGGAGGGCACCTTGAACAATACATTTCAAACCGCCCGCGGGCGCGCAACCGCAACTGGGCGACACACTTCAACCCGCCCGCGGGCGCGCAACCGCAACCGCACCTGGGCGACACATTTCGACCCGCCCGCTGGCGCGCAACCGCAACTGGGCGACACATTTCAACCGCCCGCGGGCGCGCAACGCAACCGCAACTGGGCGACACATTTCAATCCGCCCGCGGGCGCGCAAGCGCAACTGGGCGACACATTTCAAACCGCCCGCGGGCGCGCAACCGCAACCGCAACTGGGCGCCACATTTCGCCCGCCCGCGGGCGCGCACAGCAACCGCAACTGGGCGACACATTTCCACCCCAACCCCAAACGGGCGACACATTTTCAACCCGCCCGCGGGCGCCGCAACCGAGCACCGCACTGGCGACACATTATCGACCCGCCCGCGGGCGCGCAACCGCAACCGCAACTGGGCGACAATTTTTCAACCCGCCCGCGGGCGCGCAACCGCAACCGCACCTGGGCACACATTTCAAAAACCCGCCTCGCGGGTGCGCAAACCGCAACTGGGCCGACACTTTCATCCTCCGCGGGCGCGCAAAACCGCACCGCAACTGGGCGACACATTTCAATCCGTCCGCGGGCGCGCAACCGCAACCGCAACTGGGCGACACATTTCGACCCGCCCGCGGGCGCGCAACCGCAACCGCTACCGGTCGACACATTTCAACTCGCCCGCGGGCGCGCAACCGCAACCGCACCTGGTCGACACAACCCGCCCGCGGGCGCGCAACCGCAATTGGGCGACACATTTCAACCGCCCGCGGGCGCGCAACCGCAACCGCAACCGCAACTGGGCGACACATTTCGACCCGCCCGCGGGCGCGCAATCGCAACCGCAACGGGGCGACACATCTCAACCCGCCCGCGGGCGCGCAACCGGAGGAGGAGGAAAACAGGAGGAGGAGGAGGAGGAAGACCAGGATGGCCAGGAGGAGGAGGAGGACGATGGGGAGGGGGATGCCAGGGTGGTGCTGCTTGAGAAGGTGCACGAGCAGGTGCTTGTTGCGGAGGACGGAGGATGAAGTGGTCGACGTCAAGGAGGATATGGGCGTGAAGGTGGATGTCCTCCTCGCGGCCTCCGGGCGTGACCCGTGGTTCTCTGCCTGGACATTGCAGCGGGCAGTCCCCATTCCACGATGCTGCCTCTGATTGGACCATTTTTGGGTATTTCGTTGACCATTTCTTAGACTTTCGCCCGAGATCCGCCTGTAGGGGGACATGCCCGACCTAAGGGTGGCACTGACGCGCGCGTAGTGTTGCAAATCGCGCGTGCTACGCACTCCCAGCACCTCCATGCCCTTCTTTCGCTTGCTCAGTTCTCTGCTCTCTAGGGGCCCCCCTCCATGGGCGCGAGGGCAGGCCCGCATGCCCTGGAGACACGGACACTCAGGACCATCGCTTGGAGACGTGCTCATTTCTTTGCCTTTCCTTCGATTCGGATATCGACAACAGAGTTGACTTAACCCAGAGTTGAGTTTTTTTGCCGAACCGAAGGCAAATATGTATAATCTTGGTATGTATATGTACAAACACTAATATATATATATATATATATATATATATATATTCGTATGTAGGTTGGATGAAAAACGAGTTCGGGGTGCACCGATTTTGGATACGATCTTCTGTTCGATTCCCCGACCAAGTCCAGCCGGCTTGCTCCCGGGATGTTCCCGGAGCCCACGAAGGACCCAGGAGGGCCCGAAGCCAGGAGTGCCACAGGACGCCTCAAAGGCGTGTTCGTGGAAGGGGTGCCCCTGTGCCCGCTTCGTGCTCTTATCCGTTGGGCGTTCGGGCCCGTGTTCTGGGCTCCGTGGCCGGGGTTGCCCCGAGACAGCACCCGCCCGCCGTGCTTTGGTGGTGCCAGGCAGGTCGGAGGGGGTCCGCAGGTGGTCGCGAGGCAGCCGCCCAGCCTGTGAGCGCGGGAAAAGCGCTCTTGACGCCCTACGCCCGTGGCCCAAGTTGTTGCTGCCTTGGACACACCAGTCCGATTCACACTACGTACCCAAACGTCCCCGCCCACCTCTTCTGCCCGGCCGCAGTGGTGGATTCCAAGACGGCCTCCCTCCAGCACTCAATCTTGGCGCCCCTGTGGTTTTTTCGGGTAGTCCTCCACATACCAGTGCCCCTTCCATGCAGGAGAGGTCCCTGCACCGAACGCGTTTCAAGCCCCCAACGAGTCCCAGGCGCCCCCACAGGGCTTCAGGAGTTCCCGAAGACCATCCTGGAGGGCTCCAGGAGCTTTCGAAGGTAGCCCGAGAGGCCTCCATGACGCCCCGCCTCCATGAGGCGCCCGAGAGGCTCCAACATATGCGCGTTGATCTACGTATCGTGAATTCCAGGCTGGTGGATTG